TGGGAATGCAGGAAGAAAACTGGTGCAAGTGAATCAGTCATTTGGCTAGAGCGGATGGGAAGTGAGAGATGCCCAAGGACTGGTTTGGAATGAGGAAGGGGTTGCAGGGGACAGAGAGGCCATGGGCTCTGAGCCCTGGGCACTAGCCCGGCTCTCTAGAAATTTAGGTATGTAAATAAACTGTAGATTATAGCCCCTTCTCATCCCGGTAAAGGAGAGTTTAGCCCCAGCTGACATGTGTAGGCAGGTTAGAGTGGTTTTAAAGGCTAACAAAGATCCCTGAAGGCGAAAAGTTAGATTCTATCAAAGCTCCTTGTTATTTTGAACCCCTCTGGACTCCAGGTCCCCAGTCTCCAGATCGTTCTGAGAAGGGAAGAAAGACCAATAACCACACCTGCTCCACTTGATTCCTACCTCACCCCTCCACATTCACCTGTGAATTCCTATGCTGCTGGTCCTCATTTTCTGATGGCTTATCTGATAATTATTCTTGTACTTCAAACCTCCTTGTGGTTCTCTGTTGCAGCCATGAGCTAAGTCACAGGGAAGAACAATGCTCGATTGCACCAAAAATTTCCTCTCCCGGGCCAAATGGTGACTGATCGCAGCACCCTGACCCTCAAAGATCTCAGTCTGCCACCAGCTGCCAGGACCCTTAGGGGAGAGAAAGCCACTCATGCTTTTTGATGTAACTTTTCTACTTCAGCCCCCATGATGCGGTCCTGGTTCTCAGAGACCTAAGGAAACATGATGTCAAAAGGCCATGTTGTTCATATAAGGAGATTTTTGAGATTCAGAATCTAATTGGTGTTTGAGCTTCAGAAAGTGGCAGATGAAGTCTCCGATCGCATCTTAAATGGTAAAGTGTGTCTCTATTGGCTCTCAGTAGGGAGGATGTCAGAGGATGTGTTTATATTCTCCCCTCCCATTACTGTAGACCTTTGCTGATGTCCTGATACCTCCTTGCAGGGTTATTTTGCAGCTGGGACTGTGACCTTGAAGACATGGGAGTCAGGATGACTTTGAATCTCTCTCTTCAGGGACTCTGTTTCCTCCTCAGCACCATGGTGGCTGCTCAAAGTGAGTTTCCTGGGATCAACAGTAAGGGGTGAAGGGAAAGTTTTCTGGAGACAGGGAGCCAAAGCCTCAGTGTAAACCATGTGTTTTTGACCAAAAAGGAACCACACTGACTGTGAATACTGGGTCTTCTCCTCTGGGGTGTCAACTGGTCATAGTGGCAGATTTTGCAGAGCAATGATATTGAACCCAGACTGAGATGGGTCAGTGACAGTCTGATTCAAAGTCTTCCTTGTTTTCAGGGAGTGTTTGGTTAGTCCCAGTGGCTCCCTGTGTGTGGGAAGGACCAGTGATAGACCTCAGCTGTGTCCCTGGGCTGCTCCTTGCACACTGCAACTGTCCACTTTGCAGAGGACCACCCCTCAGGGTTTCCATGTTTTATATGTTTATGTGACCGTAGGCTATGTGCTTGTGTGTGTGCGTGTAGAGTGAGTATGAGGGGAGTATGAGGAGCGTGTGAGAGCTGTCTGTGCGGGAGGAACAGGGCTGCTGAGAAGTGACTGAGTCGGTTGCTCTGTGAAGCACATGGTGCCCACAGTGTTGGGAGTGCCATGTCCCGTATGTTACCAGATCGTAGATAATCTCACACCTGCCTCTCCTCTCTGGCTCCTCTCCTTCAGCCCCACGGCCTTCTCTCTGCTTGACTGTGGTGCTTGCCCCGCACTGGGTTGTGGGAGAGGCTTTGCCTCCAGGCCTCGCCTATTCCTACCAAGTATCTGTTGTAGAGCAGAGGCACCTGCAGCCATGACAGGAGGCCCTTTGCTAATAGAGATTAACTGATGCCCAGCATAGTTATATTAAGTCCTTGTGAATCATTTCCTGACTTACCGGGGTCCTGGACTGGTCCGTTCTGAATTCTGGAGGGTACATTTTCTCTCTCCTGCATTCTTCTATCCCTCTCTGAAAGTTGGTTTCCACTGAGCCTTGGATTCAGAGGACTGCAGGCATCAGGGATAGGCTGCAAAAACCCTTGCCTTAAGCCTAGAGGAGGCAGCTCTTTCAGATTTGGGTGCCAGTCCAGGCTGAGATTGCTTACAGCTTTGAGTGCTGTCAGTGCTCATTGTCTTCCTCCTAGAGCTCAGTCTCTGTCCTTCCATGATTTTCCTCAGGAAACCCCATCCCTCCAAGTTTCTGCTCCATGAGTGTTGGCCAGATGCTAGTGAAGAGTCTTGATGACTGAGGTGCAGATAGAGGTTTTGGTCCCATGAAGGTGAGAGACAATGAGTGTTCTCATATAAGGCCCCCTCTGCTTACTAGGAAAACTATAGGGAATTTCTTCAGTAGTAACTTAGGTTGCAAGAACATTTCACCAAAGCAAGCATTCTTTTTATGTTCCCAGAACCAACACCATTCAGTGTTATCCTACTAAAAATTTATTCTATTTCATACAATATTGGCCTTGCTCTTTGTAAAACAATAGTCCTGACCTTTCAAAGCATTTCATGATTTCTGAATTGGGCACACATTTCAGGAGTCTCCACTGTGAAATGCATGAAGGCCATTGGCAAAAGATTATCCTTTGAATCACAGTTTATGCCATTATACACAGAAACATAGACCCTCAGAGATTGGACAACTCAGTATTTATTATTTTGTAAACTCTTTTTAAAAATTAACAATATATTTTGGACATCTTGTTATTCTTATTTTACACACTAAAATGTTTTATGGTAGTATGACAAAAATATGGACTATTATGGAAAATTTTAGTTGCTTCCAATTATTTCATTATATGACCGAAATGCAATATAGTCACCTAATCACCCGCTTTGGTTATTTAGTTGTTTTCAATGTTTTGGCTTTCATGAAACATGTTGTTCTGAAATTCCTTGCTTTTAAATGTAAATCACTTCATAATTGTTTTTCCTTTTTTTTTAAATTTTATTATATTAATCACCATACATTACATCATTAGTTTTTGATGTACTGTTCCATGATTCATTGTTTGCGTATAACACCCAGTGCTCCATGCAGTACGTGCCCTTTTCAATACCCATCACCAGGCTAACCCATCCCCCCACCCCCCTCCCCTCTAGAACCCTCAGTTTGCTTCTCAGAGTCCATTGTCTCTCATGGTTCATCTCCCCTCCGATTTCCCCCCCTTCATTTTTCCCTTCCTACTGTCCTCTTTTTTTTTTTTTAACATATAATGTCTTATTTGTTTCAGAGGTATAGGTCTGTGATTCATCAGTCTTACACAATTCACAGCGCTCACCATAGCACATACCCTCCCCAATGTCTATCACCCAGCCACCCCATCCCTCCCACCTCCCACCACTCCAGCAACCCTCAGTTTGTTTCCTGAGATTAAGAATTCCTCGTGGTTGGAACTGGAGGGTATTATGCTGAGCGAAATAAGTCAATCAGAGAAAGACATGTATCATATGACCTCACTGATATGAGGAATTCTTAATCTCAGGAAACAAACTGAGGGTTGCTGGAGTGGTGGGGGGTGGGAGGGATGGGGTGGCTGGGTGATAGACACTGGGGAGGGTATGTGCTATGGTGACCGTTGTGAATTGTGTAAGACTGTTGAATCACAGACCTGTAGCTCTGAAACAAATAATACATTATATGTTAAAAAAAAAAAAAAAGAAGATAGTAGGAAGGGAAAAATGAAGGAGGGGAAATCGGAGGGGGAGATGAACCATGAGAGACTATGGACTCTGAGAAAGAAACTGAGGGTTCTAGAGGGGAGGGGGCTGGGGTAATGGGTTAGCCTGGTGATGGGTATTAAAGAGGGCGCATACTGAATGGAGTACTGGGTGTTATACGCAAACAATGAATCATGGAACACTACATCAAAAACTAATAATGTAATGTATTAATTAACATAACATAATTAACAAAACATAACATAATGTGATTAACATAACGTAATTAAAAAATAAATAAAAATAAAAGAAAAAATATAAAATGCTTTTGAATTTGACTTGCTCATATTTTGTTGAGAATTTTTCCATCTATATCAGATGTTTTTCTTTTCTTACGTGGCTTTCATATGAGAGTATTGCAGGCATTATAAAATGAGTTTGGGGTGTTCCTTCCTCTTTAATTTTTTTCTAGAACAGTTTCAGAGGATTGCCTTTAATTCTTTAATTTTTGGTGGAATTAGTAAGTGAAACCATCTGGTTCTGGTATTTTCCTTTTGGGGAGGTATTGATTACCGTGTCCTTGCTCATTATTAGTCTTTTGAGAATTTCTGTTTCTTCATGATTTCTTCTTGGTAGGTTGTATGTCCTTAGGCATTTATCCATTTTATAGGTCATTGAATTTACTGGTGTATGATTATTCACAGGAATCTCTTTTGATCCTTGGGTTTTCTGTGGTTTCAGTTGTAATGTCTCCTCTTTCATTTATAATTTTATTTATTCATGTCTTCTGTTTTCTTAGTTAAAGTTTTGTCAATTTTATCTTTTCAGGTAAAGATAAAGGTCTTATTTTACTTAATTTTTTCTCTTGTTTATCTGATCTGTATTTCATTTATTTTTGCTCTGATCTTTGTTATTTCCTTCCTTCTGCTGCTAACTTTGGCTTAGTTACTTAAGGTATAAGGTTAGGTTTTCAATTTGAGATCTTTATTTTTTGTAACATAAGCATTTATTGCTATAAACGTCTTTCCTAGAACTGCTTTAGTATTCCATAGGTTTTAATATGTTGTGTTTCCATTTTTATTTGTTTCAAGATATTTTTTTGAATTCCTTTTGAGTTCTTCTTTGACTCATTAGTTATTTAAAACTGTGTTGCTTAATGTCCACATTATTGTAAATTTTCCAGCTTGCTTTCTTTTGTTGATTTTTAGTTATATACAATTGTGATTGAAAGAGATAGTTGCTATGATTTTAGTCTTCTTAAATTTGTTGAGTTGTTTTGTTGCCTAACATGTGATTTATTCTGGAGAATTTTCCATGTGTGCTTGGGAAGAATATGTTCTACTTCTGTTGGATGGAATTTTCTGTATCGGTCTCTTTGGTTCATTTGGTTTAAAGTATGATTCAAGTCCCATGTTTCCTTGTAGATTTTCTGCATGGATAGTCCACCCTTTTTTGGAATGGTATATTGCAGAACTCTACTTATTATTTTATTATTGTCTATTTCTCCCTCTGGATCTGTTAGTATTTGCTTCATATATTTAGTACTCCAATGTTGGAAGCATATATTTACAATTGTTGATGAATTGACCACTTTGTCATTATATAATGGCCTTATTTGTCTCTTTTACAGCTCTTGACTAAAGTCTATTTTGTCTGTACAAGTATGGCTACCCCTGCTTTCTTTTGGTTTCCATTTCCATGGACTATCTTTTTAAATCCTTTCACTTTCATTCTGTGTGTGTACTTAAAGCTGAGGTGAGTATCTTGCAGGCAGCATATATCTGGTCTTTTTGTTTTTATCTTTTCAGCTACTCTGTGTCTTTTGATTGGAGAGTGCAGTCCATTTACATTTAGAGAAATTATTGATCTGTAGGGCTTAATTAATGCCATCTTATTAGTTGCTTTCTGGCTGTTGTATAGTTCTCTTGTTCCTTTCTTCCTCTTGCTGCCCTCCTTTGTAATTTGATGATTTTTCATGGTGGTATGCCTTGACTCTTATCTTTATCTTTTGTGAATCTACTATAGGTTTTCTCTTTGTGGTTACCATGAGGCTTACATAAAACACCTTCATGTAAAGCAGTCTACTTTACACTGATAGCAATTTAACTTCTATCTCATATAAAAACTTTACCCTTTTAAGTTTCTCCTTTTATGTTTTTGATGTTACAACTTACATCATTTTATATCATGTACCCATTAGCAAATTGTTTTAGCTAAAATTTTTTTTGTTGCTTTTTTTTTTTTTAGAGACACACACACATACACACACACACAGAGTGCATGCAATCATGAGTTGGGAAGGGGGTGAGGGAGAGAGAGAGAGAGAATCTTAAGCAGGCTGCACACCCAGCACAGAGCCTGATGTAGGGCTCGATCTCACAACCCTCAGATCATGACTTGAGCTGAAAT